CCCCCCCTTAGGGCTTAAGGATCAGTATAAAGCAGGGGTAGGAAACCTCAGCTCTCCAGCGGTGGTGAAGCTACAAATGCCTCTGCTTCTAGGAATCATGCCTGGGGCTGTCAAGAGTCCTGCAATGCCTCATGGGACTTGTAGTCCCACAGCTGGCATGCCGAGGTTGCCTACCCCTGGTATGCATGGACTGAGCAGGATTTGTCAGCAGCTGGTTAATATAACGCATGGTTGTATCCTGAGCGGTCCATGTACACTGCTCCCCATTCCTTAACCCCTGATGAAGGGGCGGGGTTCTGGCACACGAAACGCGTTGGTTTTTGTGATGCGGCGCTCCAGCCTTGGTTCTGTTCATAGTGGTGAACACAGCACAGTAACCCCAGCAACAGCATAACAGGCACTCCCCGCATACCCGCAGCCAATTCCGGGGACAAGCAACAGGTTCACTTTAATGAGGAACCCCCCTCCGCATACACCCCGCTTTCCACTGCTGATCTCCTGCAGCCTCTTCCTGTCTACACGCACTCCAGTGATGGCTGCCGGGCATTTCTCAGGGTCGGCTTCCTGATGGTGGGAGCAGGGGACCATGCTCGTGTAATGTGTGTCGGAAAGGGCCACTTGTAGTCTCTATCTGTGTGACAACACAGGAGCACAACTGGGAGAGGGGCAGAGCGTTGTCACCCCATGGCAGGAAGTGCCTGAACACAGACTATTGCTGCACAATCACCAGGGATTCGTTTATCTGAAAGCTGCAGATTTCAATGTAGAAAGTAACATCGGCATGTTGGAGATTAAATGATGACATTTTAGCCATTTCATTTGTATCAACTTTATTTATTACAGGCATTTACATAGTGCCCATTCACATCAGGCCCCGCCCCCAAGGAGCTTGCAATCAGTGAGACAGTATGCTTTATTCATCGGCCTATTACAGACAAGTCACATGGTTCATGTTGTATGTTCTATGATTCTAGACAAGGGGGCGCCCTCCGTCTTAGCGTCCCAATCCGCTATGGACATCGAGGAGAGCAGCAGTGGGCGGTCTTTATTGCTGGAGGGGGGCGGAGACAAGACCAGTCACCCTGCACAAGA